GGTATATTATTCAGGATTCAAGGTATTAATCTGTTGGATGGTATATTGTTCTGGTTATTCTCGTGGTTATATGACCATGACCCCAGAATTGACCACCCAGCAGAATAAATACTGACATATATTCTCTAACAGACTGAAGAAACATATGTCTCTTGCCATAATACATGAAATGTATCACACTTCTGTGAAAATCCTTTTTCCAACTTGGTTATGGCACGTTTAAGAATCATGGTAAAAGGGTGCAAGGACATGGCTAAACCTGATGAGGGAGAGGGTTAAATATGTTTCACTGTCCACGTTGAACAGTCTAATTCATAAGAGGAAGGATAAATGAAGAGGTGAATCACTTGGAACAAATGAAATGAGATTTAAATTGTAAAAATTTACCTCCCTCACTTTTTTTTATATTCTAAAGATAAACATATTGTGGTATAGTCTCCATTCAATCAAAAACTTACTTACTTAACATGAACTTTCTCTTGTCTGGTCCATTGCTGTACTGGTGTATGGTACGTGGTACTTTTGTTATTTTAGGAGCCATAAAATGCCAGTCGTCACAGGTGAGCACCAGAAGTAGAGGTACCCGTCTCATGCAACACAAATATGGATTTCACTTCACAGCAGTCATCTGCCTGGGCTCTGCATCTTTGTGCTTTTGTTCCTCTCAGCCACTCGTTTTGTTTGTAGTCAGTGTTTGCTGTGAACAAACTCACCATCTCCGTGTCAGACACGGGCCCAAAGCTGGTGACAAAAATGTTGGTCTTGATCTCCGTGACGTTCTCTGTTGAGGGAACACAGTGGAGAATGTTTAAGAACTAATGAGCAGACAGCAGATTAAAAATATTAATAACATGCAAATAATGATAACTAGTCTAGATGGCATTTGATGCTTTTTGCCATTTTATTTTTGGCAGAGTCTTTGGCCTGTTCCACACGTTAGATGATTCAGTCGAGTGCTGGAAGGTGTGAATGGTGTGAAACTGAATGGAGATTAGATCCAAAACTACGTTTGTTTGAAAAATCTGAAAAGCCCCATGTTCATTGTTGGTCTTTGAATCAAACCATCTGTCCTCTTGGTCCAAAATGAGTACATTACTGTCCCCAAGGTGTCAAAATACATACAATGCTGTTCTCAATGTCTCAAAATGTGCATAATGCTATCCTCAAGGTATCACGTCTGCATGACTGTCCTCAAGGTTTCAAAATGTGTACATTACTCTTTTCAAAATGTCCAAATGTGTTTCTGTAATCAAGGTGCCAAAATGTGTAGATTATCCATCCATCCATTATCTTCTGCTTGTTCCAAGTTCGGGACGTGGGGCAGCAGCTTGAGCACGGAGATCCAGACATTTCTTTCCACAGCCACCTCTCCCAGCTCTTCTGGGAGGACTCCAAGGCGTTCCCAGACCAACCAAGAGACATAGTCTCTCCAGCGTGTCCTGGGTCTTCCCCGGGGTCTCCTCCCAGTTGGACATGCCCGAAGCACCTCCCTAGGGAGGTGCCCAGGGGGCATCCTTACCAGATGCCCGAACCACCTCAACTGTGTACATTATGATTCTTAGAAAGTGTCCCAGTGTAGACACATACCCAGACTGTAAAAGTATAAATGATATAACCATAAACCAAATGATACAATCTAGAATGAATGACATTAAGTTTAAAATAAAAACAGAAACCAGAAAAATATTAACAAAAATAAATGGCTTGAGCACATATTTTTTTTTGTGTCAACAGTTTTCATTGTTGACAGATTTTGTATTACCATCTAAACATCAATACAATGAGAGCAATACAACGACAATGATTATTTTAAATATTATTGTAAAGTATTCACACTAAAACCAGTTTGGGGCAATGGTCGACCATTGAATGGTCGTCAAAGATACTCAGTAAAATGAAGAGTTAGGGGTTGTATGTCTATCGCTAATGACAAGCTTCACAACTCATACTTGTATAAACTTGTGGGCTGTGGCAGCTCAGTGGTGGGTGCAGTGGTTTTGTAATACTGAGGCTGCAGGTTTGAGCCCAGCTTGCTTCACAAAAAAAGTCAGAGCCTTTGATCTGTCAATTGCACAGAAAAAAAAAGACATTCCCATGAAAATAAATTCAGAAAGCTGCTGTTTTTGAGAAACTCGTTAAATGAAGGCCCCTCAGTGTTTTTCTGGGATGTATTTATAGGCCCTCTTGTCAAGGGTAGCAACCGTTACCAGGCTGTGAAAGCTGGCTTTTGCCATGACACATCGATATGAAAAAGCACTTGTCCCCCCCCCCCCCTCTCCCCCTTGTCATTGGACAGCTACTGAAAACGTGGCAACAAGGTGTATGTATGCTGATCGGCATCTTGGTGGTAAGATGAAAAGCTCGTGAACATTTGGTGAAGAAAAAAAACGCTAAAAGGACCTCGCTAATCGAAAAGAATCAAATGAAAACATGCCGTTTCAGTGGCTCAGGAGAAAGAAAATATCACTTCTGATTGGTAGATTGTTGGCTCTCAAGGTTATCTCCTGTTGCCAGGGTGAGGAACGCGAATAAAAGCCCACAGAGCACTTCATTCTTGTGGTGGAGGGGGGTGGTTGGACTTACATCGCCTTACAATGGACTTGCTATGAAAGAAGACCAATAAAGGTTTTCTCCTTGTTCAAGAAAACACACCAACTGGTACATTTCCACTTCAGTATCTGAACGATTTTTGATTCAAGGGGAGTGATGTACAAATGACAAAATACCTTCAGTGCTTTTACTTAAAGGTAGCATCTCACTCTCGGGACTGGTCAGAGACACAAGCCCAAGAAATATCAGGTATGTTTACTTGCAAATCACATTGAACGATGTATGCCAATTTCCAACAACATTTGGGTCGAAACTATTTATTAATTTGACTTTTATCAACCTTTATTTAACCAGGCAAGTCCTAAAGGTATCACAGATGTCTCCTGTAAGGGAGGCCTGGACCTGAACATGCATGTTTTTGGACTGTGAGAGGAAACCGTAGTACATGGAGAAACCCCACATGAACACGAGGAGAACATGTAAACACCTTACAGAGCATCTCCAGGTCCAAACCGAGAATTAAACCCAGGACCTTCTTGCTGAAAGGCATCAGTGTCAACCACTGAGCCATTGTGCTGCCAATTTAGGCTGAAGTTTGCATACATCTTGATAAAAATACATGGAAAATACAGCTATAGTACTTTGGAATTACATAAACTGAATTGAGAAGGGTTCAAGATAGGTTCCAGATGTCCGCAGAGACTTCTGGACTATTTTGAGAAAAATAGTTTAATATTTGGTATATGTCTAGAATTCTCCACGACAAACCAAGACAAGTGAGAACCCTTGCGAACGATTCAAGACATTGTGGAAACTCCCTCACAAAGGTTTGTCACCAGTAGTCACAGCCCATTGAGCTACAGTACTGCCTGTGCAAAAAAATAAAACCCAAAGCCCTTCCCCTGGCAAACCTCCAAGCCCTGGCCGGAGTCTGTTGTCATAGCCATCCAGGAGCCCATCCAGGATCCTGGTGAAGACCGTGCTGTTGTCGTTGGCGCCCGTCTCCTTCTGAGCTTCCGATGAAGTCTGGCTAAGACTAGGAGAAACAAGATGGAGGAGATGGTCCCTGCATTAGTCCAACTTCAAGACGTCAAACAAGACGCGGTTATTGTGATTAATTAGCTAGCCGAATCAAGGACAGACTTGTTGTGATTAATTATTAAACATAAGGATTGCTTCCACATACCGGTGGAGCTAATTAGGGCTTAGATGTGTGATCCAAATCCAAACAAATGAGCTCTCCTTCTATAGCGAGAAACATGGCATTATGTCTCGGAGATGAGCTTTTCTGTTTTTTACCGGGTTTAGGATCAGTATCGGGGAAAGGCTGTACAAAGGCTATAAACCAGATTAGAACATCTAATCTGAAAAAACATCAATCTTTTCAGATGTGACTGCATTGGTTCAGTAATGTAAAGTGAGCTTTTTGCCCTTTTAATTTTAGAAAAAAACCAGCCAGTGACATAGATATGTAGCAAAAGGAAACTCAAATTTGCGCTCAGTTACTGGGAACAGCAGATAAAAGTCAAAGAGTTGAGTTTTCAAAGGTGCAAAAGGGACTGAATCAAATCACGAACACAGAATGATGCATCTAGTGTCATTATTTTGTGGATGTAACACTGTGTTTACCTATTTTGGCATCCAAACAGGAGCAGGAGTGAAAGGACGAGCTGAGCCATGATTGAAACTCTGCTCATTTTGTTGTGGAGAGCTGCAAGAGAAATCCATACGAACAGAGAAAGAAAGAAACCATAAGGAAGTTACTGCCTTTTAAAGACCAACTGCAGTTTTATGAGCACAATTTTTAAAAAAATGTGGAAAACTCTTGGCCTCACTGCAACACAAAATCAAGCAGCAGGACAAGCTCGTGTTCACCGAAGCTGCGGTCTGCAACTCCTCCATATTCATAATGGGGTTTTAGAAAGACACGTCGAAATGCTACAATTCCTTATGGGGAAAGAAACAAAAATATAGGTTTTCTGCCGTATAGTTTTTGCTATGGGAAGCTCCTATTGAATCCAGGGCATCTGAATTTATATGGGCTACCCCCCTCCTTCCCCATCTCTCCTCTCTCCTTTCTTCCACCTTCACCTTTTTACATTTTTCTCCATCAAACGCACAAAACAATCTTGTGATAATAAGAAAAAGAGGCTACCTGAATGCAGCTCCAAAGCTCCGGGCTTTTGTTCTCCCACCCAGCGGCGACTGGACGACGTGGTCTATGTCTGCGTTGTTCAAACTGGACCTTACTATTCTTCTCCAGGCTCGTCGGGGCTGTCTTTCCTCCTCCTCCTCTTCCTCTTCAGCTTCCTCTCTCTTTCGTTCAGTCTTTCTCACTGTCAGTGAGAGGTTTCCCCATCCGGAGGTGTTGTAGTAGTCTCTGACGGCTCTTCAGCACCCGCCGCACCGCATCGCCTCCAGAGGGGTTTATCGCAGCATCAGCATCACAAAGGCTGCCTCCTCTGCCAGCCTCGGTGGAGACTGGTTTCACTCCACATTTTTCCGGCTCTTTCGCAGTACCGCCTACTGCTGGTGATGGATGATATAGTTCTGCAGCAGTGGCTAATAATTTGTAAAACAGGCGCTCCCCATTGGTGGATAGTGAATGGGGAGGTATGATGACAGTGCGGGTAATTAAACCTCACTGCTTGATTTCAGTGGGTACCATGGTCTTTTTAATCTACAGTACAGAATATGAAAGCAAACATGGTTCCCCAGCTCATGTATTTCCTGTTAGGTTATCTTAAAGCAGTGGTTCCAAACTCTGGTCCTTGAGGAACACCACCCTGCATGTTTTAGTTGTTTCCCTACTTTTACACACCTGATTTGAATAAATGGGTGATTTGCAGGCTTCTGCAGATCTTAAGGAAGTAACCAAATCACGGATCAGATGTGATGGAGCGGGGAAATGAGTAAAACATGCAGGATGGTGTTCCTCAAGGACCAGGGTTGGGTCTTTGTGCGAGTTCGTTTGCTGTGGCGATCCCTGAGGAAGGGAGCAGCCATAAAAAGAAAATAGTTAGTAGAGAAAGCAACAACTCTCGGTTGCTTCACTTTTTTGGAATGAGTTTTTACATCAGTTTTTTTTTCCAACTAGTACTCTGTGAGAAAACTTTGATAAAAGTAGGCAGTATAACTACCGGTACCTAGTTGGATATGTGCAGAAGCTGACAGTCAGCTTTCCATACCGATGGATATCAAGGTCTGCTGAAACCTGAACTGAACTTAGATGTCGTGAAGACACTCAGTCTTAATACACTTATCATCCTGACGTTTGCCAAAAGAGGGTAGCCGAGTTCCACCTTTAATAGACACTAATTAGTCGGTGATGTTTAATGTCCCTCTGCTCACTTAAATCCGTCTGGAGGTGCAGTCTGCGGAGGCGAACGCGGACGAGAAATGTTAAGAAACACAACTCTGCACCCCTGGGAGTTGGATTTTAGCAGCATGTCTGGTGTGGACAGCTCCTAAAGGGTGATGAGCGCTTTGACAAGGGTGTGAAAAGACTGTGTGACTGGATAAGATGGTAATGGAGAGTGCATGGCATCTCCCAGAGAAAACTGACAGTGTTTACCCTGAAGGCACTCCACTGTTTCACATTCATGCTTGACTGAATGTCTAAAAATCTTACAGAATACATTTAAAGTCATAAAATCCCAAAGTTACAAGTATTTTAGGAAGAAAATCTTCCAGATATTTATGATGGTTGTGGAAAGTGGACACTGTTAAGCATTTTCATTGGCTCTGACCTCTAATTAATGACGTCGTCGCCCTTTTGTTTCAGGAATGCTGTTGACGGAAACAAGAAGCTGGTCGCCATCTATGACACCAGGTATGTCACAGCACGTCATTCCTTTTGTTGGGGGGGGGGGGCTGTTCACATCTCCACACCGCCCCAATTACCCACGGATTTACAAACCTCCCCATTCCCGAAAGCACAGGAACACCCCCTTCATTTCAGAGCAGACAATAACGGGGCTATTATAGACGACGGCTGATCAGTCACGGGCATCGAATTATAGAGAATGCTGCCGGTCTCCATGAGATATTGCCAGGCTCCCGCCATTGTTATTGGCAACACAGAAGAAGGGAACTGAAGCTGACGGTTTGGAATGCACTGTAAAAAAAAAAGTAAATTATTGGGTGACGAGGAACTACTTAACAGAGCTTAATATAATCAGTTAACAGTTGAGGTGACTAGAATAATTTATTGTTTGCAGTGGAAACTTTGTAAACTTCAGTATGAATACAGTACCGGTATATGTAAAAATTAAGCTTAGGGAAGCACTTTATAAAAATATACAGTATATACATCAATGTTGTATCAGTATATGTAAAACAGTCGGAAAAAGGTGGATTGATCTCTTCAGGTCGAGGGTGAGGTTCTGCCTCAAGTGGAGGAGTTCAAGTATCTCGGGGTTTTGTTCCTGAGTGAGGGAAGAATGGAGCGTGAGATTGACAGACGGATTGGTGCAGCGTCTGCAGTATTGTGGACACTGTGCCGGTTCATTGTAGTGAAGAGGGAGCTGAGCTGTAAGGCAAAGTCCTCTGTTATCTGTCAGTCTACATTCCTCCCCTCACCTCTGGTCATGAACTCTGGGTAGAGACTGAAAGAATGAGATCGTGGATACAGGAGGTTGAAATGAGTTTCCTCTGCAGGGTAGCTGGACTCTCCCTTAGAGACAGGGTGAGAAGTTCAGTTATCTGGAGAGACAGAGTAGAACCACTGCTCCTCCACATCGAGCTTAGCCAGTTGAGGTGGTTCGGTTATCTGACAAGGATGCTCCCTGGGCGCCTCCCTAGGGAGGTGCTTCAGACATGTCTGACTGGGAGGAGACCCTGGGGAAGACCCAGGACACGCTGGACAGACTTTGTCTCTCGGTTGGACTGGGAACACCTTGGAGTCCTCCCAGAAGAGCTGGAAGAGGTGGCTGTGGAGAGAAAAGTCTGGGTCTCACTGCTCAAGCTGCTGCCCCCGTGACCCGACTTTGGAACAAGCGGAAGATAATGGACGGATGGATGGATGGACATATGTAAAATTGCTGTTTTAACTGTTATCACTTAATAATCATTGCTAAAACTGCCTTAAAATGCATACGTATCACCAACCTGGTGGTCTTTTGTGACCAAAAAAACTACGTATTTGCATATACAACCCTTACAGTAACACACGAGGACACCTGGTGCCACATGGAAACAACTACAACAAAGTCTATAATGTGGTAAATTTGACACGTAAAAGAGAAATTATTCACATGTAGAAAAAATGAAAACCCGTATGTTTCACAGGTAATGCAATAGATTCAACGCAAAAAACATAAAAAAAAATTCTTGTCATATTAGATACAAATGTTCAAAAGCTGTTTCTTATGGGCACAACTGTTTCATGTGTAAAAATAAACTTGTGTTCCTTTGCGTTTCACGTGTATTTCCTAAACTTTTCACATGGACAATTACTTGGCTAACATAATAAAGTCTTAAAGCAGCTTCTTGTCCATGTGCACAAGTATTTTAAATGTGGGGAAAAATGTAATTCCATGAATTTTGCACATGATTCTAAAGATTTTACATGGCGATGTAAGTTAGGTGCTACAAATAAGTTACAAAATTCCCAAGGCAACATGTTTTCTATTAGTACAAGATGTGTTTCATATGTGGAAAACAAAATCCTTTGGGCTTTATGTGTAATTCTATATATTTTGCATGGGAATTTACATGGGTACTACACATTAGTTAGTACAAAAAAGTCCCAAAGCAACATGTTTCTCACGTGTAGAAAAACTTGTAAGGGGGTGTAAGGCCCTCTTTTTATCTGTCGGTCTACATTTCTACCATCACCTATGGTCAAGACCTCTGTTTACTGACCCAAAGAACAAGATCTCACATACAAATAATCAAAAGTAGTTTTCTCCTCAGGGTAGCTGGACGTTCCCCTAGAGACAGAGTAAGAAATTGAGTTATCTAGGAGAGACTCGGAGTAGCGTCGCTGCCTCTCCACATTGAAAGGAGCCAGCTGAGGTGGTTTGGACATCTGGTAAGGATCCACCCTGGAAGTGTTCTGGGCATGTCCAACTGGGAGGATACCTCAAGGAAGACCCAGGACGCATTGGAGAAACTGTTTCTTGGCTGGCCAGGGAATGTTTGGGAGTCCTCTTGGAAGAGGTGGCTGTGAAAAGATATACCTGAGCCTCCCTGCTAGAGTTGCTCCTCCCGAGACCCGACTCTAGAACAACTAGAAGTTAATGGATGGATAGATGGACGGATGGACAGACCACAGGTTTTAGACAGACTATGAAAATGTTCCAAAGCCCTGTTTTACATGGCAGCCCCATAGGTTCAGATGGGAATATTTCATGTACCATCATGAAAACATATTCAATAGAACAAACCATTGAAATCACGTGGGTTTCTTATGTAATCCTATAGACTTTACATGGTAATTTCGGTGGGTTTGACATAAACGTTCCAAAGCTGCGTTTTTGTTTTTTTCTTAATGTTCAGATTATTGTGCAGCCACTGGTGGGTATTTTTTTTTAACAGTGTAATAAGTGCTGGGCTCCATCTGTGGTTTGAACGGAGCGAGTGCCTTCACCAGCAGCGGCAGCATCTCTACATCCTCCTCTCATCAATATGCGCTCCAGCTCCTGACTGGAAGAGCCTCATTCACACACAGCAACACACAAGAGGAGAGCCCCACATTCCTGCCGGGGTTGGCGATGACAGCCTACGTCTCACATCTGCCTCGGTCCGCTGCAGACTTTTCCAGCGCCTCAGCCGACTTTCTCCTGGTTGTGTCTTGTGCATGTGCGGTGGAGCAATCCATGGATTTACTCTGGTTATGAGGAGCATACGGGGAGGCTGTTGATTGCAAGGAGAGAGGGAGAGGCTCTTTGCTCCAGTGGCTGCAAGCAAGCACCGTAGTGAAAACATTTGTATTGTTCCTAATTCGATCACATTAAGAGGAGAAGGATCATGTTGGCTTGGGAGAGGGTTCGTCAGTTTCGTGTCTTGTCCGCGCTGGTGGTGGGTTCGATTATGTGCTGCGCCAAAAGGTTTGTGATATTGTCCTGTTCTTCATTTCTGCCAGTCAAGGTTATCGCTTGTGTTCATTTGTCCAGCAGCTAAGGTAATGTTCCCTCTCGTTTATTTTATGTTCCTGCTGTCGTTTCAGCGTCAATGAACCGGGCAACATGTCTTTTGTGAAGGAGACGGTGGATAAACTACTGAAGGGATATGACATCCGACTCAGACCAGACTTTGGAGGTATGCAACGCATTTCCCTCAGCTCCTCCATCGTTGATCCCCCTGCTTTAGTTTTGGCGCCAACTGTTTATGTCATGGCCAGGTGTAGAGCCATTTAATAAAACTGTAATGGCTAAAAATTTAAAAGCTGCAGCTCTTCTGATTAATTACAAACGAACAAGAAGACAAACCAAATAAATAAAATACATTAGAATTTACCTAAATGAATGCAGATGAGGCTTCGTGCTATTTACGAGCCCAAAACCAGCAGGACGGGTTTTAAGGAATGCTGCCTTGTTTTATTTTTGGAACCAGAGTCTGCTCACTGGCAATGTGGAGCTTTAAGTCCCGCCCACTTCTCCCTCCACACAATCATGGTGTCACGGGACCTTTTTAAAGCATGAAATAAGTAATTGTTATTTTTTATATTTTTTAAATTCTGTAGCAAGATAAGAGCCATGTGAGTCAATAGCTAGCAAAATGATCTGAGGTGGGGTTTTATGCTTTAGTAATTGTTGCTTACATGGAGGGCGGGACAAAAAACTTATTCTGGAACCATCCTGTCAGGATCCATTTCCGGTTTTAACTTCCGGGATCCTGTACGAAGTCCAGATCCTGACGAAAGTACAATATTTGCGAACAATAACCGTAAGGGTTTGAAAAACTGCCCCTCGTTGAATTAACAACTGTAATGTAATAAAATGCACAGAAAAATAGACATTCTACTGATATTTACTAACCCATATGGGTTTATATAAGACTTTGTTTAGTTCAAGATCAGGGCAGTTCATTGAGGTCCCATGCTATAAAGGTTGGAAGAGATGTGTCTCTTAAAATTATCATAAATGTGAGAAAATGATGGCAAAATATTTAATCAATAAA